CCCCTTTTTTTTTTTTTTTTTTTTTTTTTTTTTTTTTTTTTTAATATTTTCTTCCCACAACCAATTTCCATCTCCATGACTTTCGCTCATAGCTCGGAGTCTGTTCCGTTTCGAGTGACTTTTGGAACGTAAGCATGGAGGCGCGCGATACATATTCACAAGTTTACTTTGGCGAATGACGCAGGTGTCCGGTTTTCGAATCGCCGGCGGCGACTCGTCGCTCGACTTAAAGACACGTGGAAATTCACCGGAATGGATTATTGTCCTTTAACACGCAAAGGACACCTAACCAAACCACGACCTTTGACCGGCTTAATATCCATACCGTGTGCCATTTCTCGTTGGATTTGCCATTTCTCGCTTGCATTTCGAGAAAAAAAGATCTTAAATTCTTTTCACACGCGTCTCGCTCGCTCTCGTTTCCACCGACTCTGCGTCTCTTACTTCTTAACCGAATCCTCAATTATGCCAGAACTTTCTTAAGAAACTCCTCGGATCCCCCTTAAATCCCCCAGGCCGAAGGTCATTCCGACTGAAACACTCGGTACTAATACTCCGGCATTCTCAAGCTTCTCAGTCTACAGTGCCTACAGTATCATTCAGCCGAGTCGATGAATTTATTTGTATTTCATTTAGCTCCCAGCAAACTCTTAATAACACGAACCACCTTATACCCGGTGTTCACTCATTATAATTGAACACCCACGCAATAACGTTCATAGTTATTCACCTAAAATTACGTGAGCCCTATCTGCGCCTTATCTGCTTCCACGTTTTAGGTTTAGCAAATTTTCGTCAATTAACGTCCGACCAGCAGCGTTTCCGTTTCCGGCATTATTAACCATTACTTTGTCACCGTGTAGCAAAAGGGGAGGGGGAGAGGTGACGAAACGAAACGTTGGATGATTGGGGGGAGTCCGGGGTGGTTACGCGATCGAGTATCCACCTGACGGATTATCAGAAAATCGAGACTCGATCAGGGATCAATTAATCGATGATGGACGTGCGAGGTTATCGGATTCGCGTTGATTTATGGAGCTGAGGGAGAATGGGGAACGCTTATCGTCTCTTTGAAATCTGTCAACGAATGACAATGTGTATAGGTGCGTACGCGTGACTGTTTGATTAACTAACCGGTAGTGATAAGCAACTGGGTAGGTTGATTGTGCGTAACCACTGTATATACATATTTGATAGACGTATAAAAAGTAAAGGAACGTTAACAGTACGATTAATGAAAAGGCCTGTAGGTATATATTCACCTATGAATAATACACGCTTGAAATAATAATTTTCATCGCCCTGTGTAACTGTACAGTCAGCAATGAGACTTCCGTCTTTGCAACAATCGATAATAAAATATTGACTCTGCAGTTTGGCATATGTTGTTACAGGCCTACCGCGAAATTTCAGGACGTTACGAAATTCGACTACGGTAATAGAATTGCGCGTGTTTTATTAATGAGCAACGTTCGAAGGTGACTCAGAGTCGCTCGTAATGAAAAATAAAAGATTTGGCATGTTACCGGCTGCCACACAGGAAACTGCATGAAATGTCCTGCTGTTGCCTCTCGTAACACGTTCCTACAAACGGAGAATAGCCGCTTGTTAAGGGTAACCGTTCTCGTATAGGCTGTTCTCTTTAGCTGTCGGCGGCATAACGATCGCTCGTAATTCTCCAATCCGGAAGGAGGATCGGGTGAAATACGGGCAGGTCGTATGACGCAATAAGGAGAGAGAGAGGGAGGGAGGGGAGGAAAATCCTCGAGAAGGTGGGAAAATTTGAAAATCACGTTAATCTACGCTGACGAGTGTCGGACGGGGCTCTGCGCATGCGCGTCAACCGCTTTTCACGGTCTCGTCTAATGGCCGACGTATTGCTCGTTAAAACGACACCACCGTCTCCCCTTGGCTTATCGGCTTGGCGGACGTTGGTTAGGCTTGATGTCAAGCTTGTTATATTTGTATTTCTATGATCGAGGAGTTGCGCTTACGCGTTACGCTACTTTGTCACGGATCTTTATTGCTCCGGGTTAATTCGTTAGGATTATTGGATGCGTTAACGTAGGCGCCTCTTGTTTACCTTTTGAATCTTGACTGTTGGCTCAGTCGGCTCGTGCCGTGGGAGAGGTATACCTGTATAGTGTATTCAGAATTATATTTTGGCTGATTCATACGTTGGGCTTGATGTATCGGGCTCGGCTGGTTCATTCGTAGTCTCAATGGATGACTCTGGCGGCACTCGGTCTTTCGCTGTGTACGGTCAACGGACGTCGAGACGCTATTAGGAGCGTCCAATATGGCCGCGTATCGAGCGAACTAGAATTTACTACTTGGACGGTTCTGCTGTCTCGCACGTAATGCGAGTTTCGTGTCCGACAGGAACGCTGTCTTCTCTCTCTCTCTCTCTCTCTCTCTCTCTCTCTCTCTCTCTCTCTCTCTTTCTCTCTCTCTCTCTCACGCGCACGCTCTACTCTCTGTCTGCCCTCTTTGCCACCTCTAAGTCTCTACCTTTCAGATACACAATTACGAACGGTCGCTGACAATCGGCTGTTTCCGCGACAGCGGCACTTGGTCGTCCGTTAAGGATTTCCCATTAGCTTTTATTATACGTCGCCGAGTATTTTTTTATCCCTTACCGTAATTACGCGAAAAAAAGATTCTTGGTCACGTAGAGACATTTGGAAATATCGAATGAGTCAGATGATTCAAGTGGGTGGGGGTGGGGGGGGGGG